AAATACACACCATAAATGAATGAGAATTGAATTCTATGAAAGTACTCCCTCCATTCAATTCAATATACCCATTTAGACATACACAGAAATTAAAAAAAATAGATAATATAATTTATGTAGTTAATTTTAAATAAAATTCTTATTACACTCTTATTAATGACCAGTGAGTTATTAGTTGATATGAGAGAGTAAAAGTTGAAATTAATTAAATGTTCTTGATTTCAGTGAGAGTAGGAATGGTATATTAGAGAGTTTATAGAAAAAGTTAAGTAATTGTCTGAAGTAGGACTAAGTTTTGAAACATCCCAAAAGGGGAAGTGAGCTTATTGAAATAGAACGGAAGGAGTATCATTTTTGTTTCTTTTTTTGTTTAATAAATCATAGTTGTGTGCTCTCATGTAAACTAGATGCTTAGCCCGGGCGGATGCCCGGGCGATCTCTTGAAAGTTATATTGTAACAAAAAGTATGTCTTGATATAAGTGTATACTTGCCTCGGACATTCCTGGGTTTTGAAATTGTCAAATAACAAAACCAAACAATCCAAAAATAAATAAAACAATACATTTTATTATAATATATAAGGTACATATAGAATGTAGAACCTAAAACAGTAACGATTATTATTAACAGCTCACGATGACGTTCTTTCTCACATCAGCTAAAATATCCCTTGTCCTCGTGTTTTTCCCGATCCAGTGAAGTTGAGTAATGGATCAGGGGCAGCTGGATTTCTTCAAATGGCAGAGCCATCAATCTTATTTTCCAGAAAATGAAAAGAAAGAAACTTGAAATCACCATGCACAAAAAAAAAAAAAAATCATATTGAAATTGTAGATCGGCAGAAGCAGAGTATATCCCACAAATAAGGTTCATGATGTGGGAGAACCAACTGCTACCACCCATCCTCATGTACGTCAATTATATTATGAGACCTTTTATTCCCTTTTTAAATCTTATGATGGTTATTTTCACCCTTGCTTAGTCTCTGAAATTGATGGTTTCATCATTGCAGTTGTTAAGAGAGGGTGAGATTACACACGATATAACAACGGATGTGTATTTATCAAGGAAGAAGAGGTTATTAGAGCTTTTACCTTTCAATAGTATAGCAATTATTTCAGCTGCCCCAGTGAAAATGATGACCGATATCGTTCCTTACACTTTCCGTCAAGAAGCTGATTATCCATTCATTGTCAACAGCCTGGTGCCCTATTCCAAATATAATGATTAACTGTAAGTATGTTCAAAAGAAACCCACCATGGATTCTTCAAAAGGATCCACTTGCTTGGGTTGTTTTGCTTTATGCTTAAAAAAGCAATACCAAATTGAAAGTTACAGACCGATGAACATGCCATTAGGCCTATGAAATCATAGCAATTCCATCTTATATCAATCCTCTAAGAAACATCCTGTTACTCTAAATAAAAATGTAAGAGAACTGTGAACAAAGAAGTTCAAAAGGAGTAAGGGCGGGGAAGTGTATTTTACCTTTCTATGATACAGTGATTAAATCCGTTGAAGAGTTCCATAAATTCAAATTATTTTCTCTTTCACATAAAATGAGTAGACATAAGTGAAGACGTAATTCTAACATCATTCTCCACGAATTTCTTGGAAAAGCTATAAATCAGAAGTCATAAAATTTACTGTAGCTGCAGAACAGAAAAACAAACATTTCAGCAGCTTGAAGATCATTTGAATTTTTTATCTAGATAAACTTGCCCTGCCTGTCAACAAAGATAGAAAAATCTCTTTGAATTCAACTGTTTATGTACGTAACGGAAAATCAAAAACTCTAAGATGATCATAGCTACAATATCCTTATACTATGATATAGCAGGCTTTTCGAATTTTTTCTTTCGATATAAATTTGACTCTCTTCGTTATGGATTCTTCACTGGACTACTAGAAAAGATTTTTTCTTTTTTGATAAACAAAATGATCAAACTAACCCAAAAAGAATCAAGTTGAGAAAAGAGAAATTATTTCTTAACCCGTGAGAACGACAAAACAAATGATACATAGAACTTAAAAATGTAGCTGCAAAAGTGCAGAAAAAATGACCTTTTTGTGCAATTTAAGTTAATTTGCCCGGACCAAAATTTCATTGACGAAGCTCGTGGATGACTTGCAGAACAAAATGAATGCTTTATCTGATATCGATCAGCAATTATATTATGAATGACTGGTTCAAAGCATGAAACATGCATTTGCAACACAGTAATATAGCCCAGATAAGTATATTGACCCTTTGATCTCAATAATCAAAGGAACTATCACAAAATCCACCAAATGAAATTCGACTATGCATCAATAACCTTTAGGATATAGCTACGCCGAAGCAAACACTGACTAACCACACATTTGACATATATAAGCTTAATTAACGATTCAATACTTGCCATACTGAGAATCCATTAAGATGCACCTAGTATAAGCATTAGACATACATAAGAACATAAACCTCACGTCAAAGTCACAATCACAATTAGAGATTTCATTCATCACACATCATAACCACTTAGTTGAATAAACCAGGCAAGTTGCCAAAATCCAGAAAGTAAAAAAAAAAAAAAAACCATCTGTAAATCCCTAATTTCTCTTGGATTTCATATTGAAATTATGCAAGATTTCCCCGTAAATATACTACTTTTATAATCTAATGAAAGACACAAATAAAAAAAATAAAAAAAAAATCCAAAAGAAATTCAAGCCCAGATTTAAATTAAACCAATATAACAGATCACCATGAAAAAAAAAGAGAGAGGACAAATTCGACAGAAAATTTTCCAATAATTTTCAATCCCAAAAAATTGACTTTACTTGAAACATAATAATAAATATGTACCTTGGTAAAAGGATTTGACCAGGAATTCAATCTCCCCTTCTAGTACACAGTCAACGATGATGAGAAAATTTTCTTCAAATTTGGGAGGGATTCGATCATGCCCGAATTCGCGAAGAGATTCGAACCTGATTGTGTGGCGTGAGGACATCAACAAAAACATCAATTACCAATGATCATCGGTGTTGATCTAGCCGATGAATTTGATGATGTGGCTTGTGTTTTGCAATCGAGATTTTCACTGATGCCGTTAAGTATACCAACCCCATTATCTCGAAACTTGAAATTTTTCTTTAAGCCAATCAATTAGAGGAAATAATAGGAGGAGGAGAGAGGAGGAGAGAGCGATACTGAAAGTTTTGACCCTAGGATTGATCTGAATAGTAAATGAAAGAGAGGAAATAAAAAAAAATCAGATTCTCTTTGTTTGAAATTCAAATAGATTGGGATGAATTTTTTTTGTTGAAAAGGGGGATGAATTTAAGGTTAATTAGGGAACCGCATTTAATTACCGTTTTTTGTGGTGGCGGATTTATTTTATTTTTTTTTACTAAAATAAATTTTCCATTTTTCCAAACTGAGAACGGCTTTTGGACTCTTTTACCACGCCTTTTCTCTGAGCATATGGAGCGCTACGTGGCGTTTTTTATTTTGTAATGAAAAAGGGTTTTGGCGGGAAAATTTTCAACTTAGAGCTAACATGTTTCCTTCTTGTATGTTGCTTTAATTAAGTACAATAGATATTTAATTAAGATATAGATAGAAGCAGTTACCTAATTCTTTTTGATAAAAAGATGAAATTATATTGCTCAATAAAATTGGGACCTTATTTACAACGATTGCTATCTTTGATACCTATTCGACCTTCCTTTTGTCCCTATTTTCTATAGAAGATTAATGCCTACAGGTTCTAAATATATAAAATCACCTGATTTTAGTTTTTTTTTTTTTGTCTGCTGCACCCTTCAAGTAAGCTCTTGTCTGATGCCTTCTATTCTGTCTTTAATATTCCTACTTTGCAGCACAACCAAAGATGTACGGTGAATACAGGCCATTATAGCTCCACAAATTCCATTTTTGTTTTTGGTGCATCAATGAACTTGCTGCATACACTTAGCTTAGTTCTTACAACTTGCACTACCCCTAGAATCCTGATCTAGTGCATCAATAAACTAAGCACTAGCTTAGTTTCTAAATTCTTTTTCATTCTTTGATATTGACATCCATTCCTCACATTGTCAATTACTTGTCACTTACAAATTAAATTTGGTTTTTTTATTGCTTATAGAAGCAGTGTGGACGTGACTTTTTTGGCAACCTTAATGAATCTGTCTCGAGTTTAATTGTGAATCCCCAATTTTCATCAAGAATTGGCAACCTTAATGAATTTGGAGCTTCTTTCTGAATTCGAAACCATCAATTAATATTGATCTTATTTTCCATGTCAAATGAAGGGAAAAGGAGAGGAAAAAAAAATTATAAACAAGCACTTCCTTCAATCAATATCCTCTCATAAATCAATCAATGATTGTCAATTTTCAGCAAAAGAAGAACTAGGATTAGAATTATACTCAAGAGTAGAGTAGACAATTAACTGAGATGAGTTTTATGTGAGAAAGATGGAATAAAATAGTAATAGTAACTAGTTGAGAAAAAAAGGGTGAGCTAGTCATTTATAACATAGATATAGACACTGTTTTAATGGTAATACAAAAAAAAAAAAATATAATGCTCTTTAGGATAATTTTGATCTTTCCTTTGTCTTTTTTTAAAATTTTTTCTTTAAAATATAGTCAAAACCATCTTGACTTTTTAGTTATTTTAATACCCATAAAAATTGATCAAAGGGTTCTTTTTGTTTTTTTTTTAAAAGAAAAATTGAGGGGTATTACTTAGGACATAGTTAGAAGGAGGGGGGAATTTGTCCTTAACTCTATAGTTAATTTTGGAAAATTTATTATTACGTGCATCAATATAAAAGAAATAATCAAAATTTATTATTTGAATTGGAAAATTGATAAAGGCAGAATGGTATTTTTACTGGCGGTGTTTTTTTGGCAGAGTCCAAAAATAAAAAAGAAAATAAAAGAAACCTTCCTTATATTGTCTACAGCTTGCACCATCCATACGGAAAATTCACGAGGCAGATCCCAATGGTGCGTGAATCTTCCTGTTTCGATTTTTCTTAATCTTCTGAAATTGTCTAGTTCTTCGATCTCGTACTGTAATTGCACCTGAACTTATGCAATTTGTATCTTCCTGCCGTCCTACTCCTGCTAAATGTCCGAGCTAGGGCTCTTTTTCCTTCGTTTTATTTGGGTCGTTTTTAATCACAATAGTTTCTTGCTTCGGATCGGGCTGTTGATGATCCTTAAATAATTGGAAGTTATATATATTTTTTTAAATGCTTGTTTTCATTCTTTTGTTTTCCCGACCAATCGCTCCTGTGTTATGTGTGCTTGCCCAAACTCTGTGGTTTTCTGAGGAAAAATTGTAGTTTTGATGAATTTATTGGTACATAACAAAGGTTTTGTGTGCTGAAGATTTTGTGTTTGCATCCTAGAGTATACAGTGTGGCTGGGATACATGTATGGTCCTCGTGTTTAGTCCTTAATTTTGGAAATGTGTTGTATTCAGTTGTTTTGGTATTTTCCATTCTGGTAAATTTGTAGCCTTGAAAAATTACAATCAAGTATGGGGGAGGTCTGGTTAGCTTTACGAGTCTGTTGTTTGCTGTTAAATTAGATGGAACTCTGAAAATTTGCAATTTTGACTGTTGATCACTCCTTTTTGAAGCTTTTGGAATAAGTTTGATCCCCCGCCCCCGTTTGGGTTATATTTTGCTCAATTAGGGATATTGTTATACTATGTAGTGGGAATATTGAGATGTAATTTGTTGTGGCACATTCCAACATGTGTTTTGCTCCCTCTTCTATTGTTACTATAGTATTTTTTTTAATTTTTTATTTTATTTTCTATTTACTACTGACGGTTTATCACGGTGTTGAACCATCGGTTAACCGGTGGTTCCTGGTTTTCTAAATACTAGAACTATCATTGAACCTTCATTCTGACCGTCACTTGAGGAACCGTAACCACCGCTTCGGTTTCGGTTGAAATCGAAACCGTGGACATCTTTGCTTCCAGGAGAAAATAAGCCTACATTAATTAAATTTCTTGCGAAGAAGCTTTGCATTTGGTATTCTTGTGTGATGCAGCAAAACCCTTGGTGTGATGCGTAGGATTCCTGCGGTGTGATGTCAAACGACCCTAAGAGTGGTTCTTAGGTTTTGTTCCTGTTTCCCTGTGATTTCTAATTTGTTTTCATACATAGTTCTTTTAATGGTTTTGTTGTGTTTTACTCCATTAATCAGCATAAGGTCTGATTTCTTAACTACCACGTTGGTGCTACGTCATTACTTCACTTTGGTATTCTTATATATGTATTTTATTAACCTGCCCTTGGTTTTGTTCTATGCTTGTGTAACATATTTCTTGATGTGACCTATTTTGAAAACTTGCCAGATTCATTTTTTTTAAGTACTTAAATGTGTTGTAGGCAAGTCGAGGAGTGTCGAGGAAAGATAAGCCCAAGGGAAGACACCATGGCTTAACACAACAAAAGAGACAGGAGATAAGAGAGGCCTTCGAATTGTTTGATACTGACAACTCCGGTATTGAAAATCATGTTGCAAGAGTTTCTTTCCTGATTTCTCCCTAGACCCTGGATGGTGGATGGTTATGATATTTCTAATGTTTTGTGTAGGCACTATTGATGCTAAGGAACTGAATGTTGCAATGAGGTATGTACTTGAGCATTTCCTTATTCTCGAAGATTTGTATTCTGTATTCTGATGCATGGTTGTGAATCTAACATGCGTATTTTGCAGGGCTCTTGGTTTTGAAGCAACAGAAGAGGTGATTTGTCAATACTAATATAACTTTGGTGCATTTTAATTTTTTTTTAATATAATCTCTATTTGGAAAATCATTCTTATTTCATGTTAAAGTGTGATTTATTCCTTGTTCATGGTTTTAACAGAGGAATTGTTGAGTTTACAAACTTTTACTCCCTTTACATGGTATCCTAAATTATAAAGTGATGACATTGTTCATTGTCGCTGTTTGTAAATCAAATTTGTTTATGTGTGTATCTTCCACTTTCTGTCCTTTACATTTATATGCTTTCCCACTTCCTTGGTTGAAGCCAAGTCCTTAAAATAAATTCATATTTCATTGTGACCTTCACTGGAAACAAATCAGAGATGAATTTTTCTGGAATTTTGTGCTTATTTATAGAATGTGAATGTATTGACTTCATGAGTTGCTTCATCAGATTGTTATGAGCTACAAATAAGCTTCATCAATTAGCTTCTTGTTACTGTTTTCATAGCATCGAACTCTTAGGAAAACATGCTATTTGTTAGCATCAAACTTGCTCGTTATGAGTTGTTTGAACATTATAACTGGTTAATGGATAACACATGTCAGTCTCTCTCTTTAGTTGGAGGAGGTCCATGTAGTTCAAAGCACATTGCTAAACATTAGTTTTGCTATTTCAGATGGTATTTCAGATTGACGTTAAATCTATGCTATTGAGAAAGATGATTAGGACATGAAGTAACTGCTGATTCGCATTTTGTAGTAATTCAACTTCTTGCTCCTTTAGACAATCTTAGTGTGAGTTTTATAGTTTGTGTTTGGGAGAACTTTTTAGGGAAGATTCCTATCAGGGGTATTGTAGAGTTCACAATTCTTTATTGGGCTATCTATCTATGAAAATTCCTTTTAAGGCGTACTATGACATGGATGATATTCTTAATTAAAGGAAGGTTAAAATGGTGATGAAATATCATCCATGTCATCGTATGCCCTTGAAGGAATTTTTTAAAGATAGATAACCCAATAAAGAATTATGAATTCTACAATACCCCTAACAAACTTTTTATTAGTTCTCTATAAAAAAGTGCTTCATATGCAGAGTGATTGCTCCGAGTGGATTCAGCAACACAGGTTGACTGTTACATACAGTTAACCAAAGTTGGTTTCTACATCTCGGTTGGCTTTACTCCAATAGCCAACTTCATTGACCAGGTCGAACAATGTGGTGTATTGAATTTGAACCTACTAATATTTCTCAAACTTTCATATCTGAAACACCTAGTGTGAACGACCGATCCAATCCTCTTGTTAGTTTTCGGCTTATTCTTTTAAAACGTCATTCAACAGCAAAATCAGATTAGTGTCTATATTGGTGTTTAAAAGGCTGGGTGACTGTTGTGGCATAATGATGTAGCATCAGCTTACATAGTCTTTTTCAATCTGTTTGTTGAAGAGATTACAACAGTTAAAAAAAAAGAATAAAGAAAAGAAGAGCTTGTAATTTATTATACACCTCTTTTTGTTGATAAATCCTGAATGGAGCTTTGTCACAATTTAAATCTTTGATTTGATGGGAGCCAGGGGAATAAATGTTCTGTGGAGTGTCCATACCTGGCATTGACATTTTTGTTTGTTTTAGTGATTATGATTTCTGGGTTAGGATTCAAATGTGTTGTTGCATTTATGACTCAATTGTTATTTTATGCTTTTGTACTTTTGTTTTTTTCCCCCAGGAAATAAATAGAATGATTGCAGAAGTTGACAAAGATGGCAGTGGTGCCATAGACTTTGATGAATTTGTGCATATGATGACTGCTAAGATTGGAGAAAGGGACAGCAAAGAGGAACTTATGAAAGCATTTCAAATTATTGACCAAGATAAAAATGTGCTCTTCTTCACCACGTGTCTTCTGTGACTTATTCTCCTCTTGAAATGCTGATTCTTGCGATTGTTAATTGCAGGGAAAAATTTCCATGGCAGACATCCAACGCATCGCGCGTGATTTAGGTGAAAACTTCTCTGAAAGAGAAATTCAGGAAATGGTTGAGGAAGCAGATAGAGATCGTAAGTTTCTCATTTGTCTATTTGCTTTCAGCAGTTTTAATGAGTTTGGTGTACAAGAATGATTATTTATTCTTGAAGCTTATTGCAGTCATATGACAAATCCTTGGATTGTATCCTAAACTTATAATCTAGGAGGCATTGTTAACCTGAATGTGTCATTTAATCTACCATCAGCGCAAAACAAAACTTCTTTCTTGAATACTGGATGCATGGAAATTACAACTTGACTTTGACTTCTAGGTCATGCCTTGTATTCTATTGTTATTATATTGGTTTCATTATAATGATTGAAGGAATGAAACAGTACTGACTAGTAGAATTGTTTACTTCATTTTCTTCCATCAGTTTGGTTTGGTTTCTTTATTGGTTTATATTGTTTGAAAGAATGACAAAATCAAGTACACAGTTTTGAGGGGCTTTTTTCCTTTTATTTTTTTTTGGTTCATATTCATTTTTTTCCCCCACTTATTGTAATTGGAACTGATCAGATGATGGAGAAGTTAGTGCTGAAGAGTTCATGAGGATGATGAGAAGAACCTCTTACGGCTACTGAGCAACATTCCTTTGGAGTGTTTCATGAGTGGTTTGTTTACTGTTCTTTTTATTGTACATTATAATCACTCAAACTACTGAGTTTTTCGGAGTGGATGATATGGCCTGTACTTTAATCGCATATATGAGTTAGAAATTTCGCCTTCTGCTGCTTAAACCAATTTATTTTATTTTATTTTCTTCTAGGCTTTTTGGCCCAACTACATTATTCAGTTGCAAGATATTTTGGAACTTGCACAAGAAACTGCTGTATATTCCTGAGATTGTTCTTCTTTCTTAATGATTCTATTTTCAAAATATTTCCGAAAGATGTTGAGATCAACTTCCCGAGTGCCCTAAGAACCTATTATAATGTCACAAGGAGGATCACAAATGCTAGTTTACGCTATGTGAAGTTTAGAAATAAATTCCTGTCTCATATAGATCAGTGTATAGTTTCATAGGTGATTGAGTAGACAGTTGAAGCAAATCACACCAAAAGTTGAAAAATCGTAAAATGCGTTACAGATTGTGTCTACGCAGACACCAAAATGTGTCTCAGACCTCACACATGCAAACAAACTAATTGGGGGGCCCCAAGATCCTTCATTCAAATCCAACAATTGTGTGGGTTGCCCGTTTGATTGTTTCTGAATTTTATTGGAATGAACTCAAAGGAGCACTTCATGAAGAACTTTTATTTTTTATTTTTTCGGATGCAGAACTAATCTTCGCAATTTCCTGAAAAATCGTTATTTCTTCCCCTGCAACTTAGGAAGTGAGGTGAAAAAGTGCTTGGAGATTGTAAGGGCCTGTAATGGTAGGAGGTCCGTTCCACATTGCCTGGGCTGAAATTTGATTGGCTGCTTCAGTAGGATGAATAGAATCCCAAAACAAGTATTCTTGTGGATCACTGCATAGTTCATATTCTTTCGGTTCTCTTTTTCCTCCACAACTAAAAAGCCCTCTGAATGGACCAGTTCCACAACATCCACTCTTCACTTCTTTTAAACCTAGTACGTCACAGTTAAAATGACTAAAAAGTTAAAAAAAAATAAAGTGGGAAAGAGCAATTTGAGTTAAAAAAAAAAAGAAAAAAGGAGTAGCTAGCAAGCTATACAACATAATTACAAACATATTCCTTAGTCACAAAAAAAAGTACGGTAGTAAACTATAATGTCACTTTCCTAATCTAAAGTAATCTTGATCTTGGATAGCTAATATTGTAACTCTCCTATAATCAGGAGTAGTTATGATCCGAATCTTTGTTGAACTACTTTAGTTTTGTCAATATCTTCTTACTTGCTCCTTTCACCATGTTTTAACATATCATTTTTAATAAGTAAGATGGTATGTTTTGGAAGACGGTTAAAATGGAACTGATAACATCATACTATAGTATATTGACTCTTCAAAAATAATGACACTTTACAAACTTAAAATTCCAAAGAAAGAAGGAAAAAGTTTAGTTCTTCAGGCATAAAACAACACCCTCATTCTAATAAAAAAAAGCTCAAATACGTAAAAACAAATTTTAGTAGAAGTAACAAATAATATAGTAATTTCTCTGTCCCAAAAAAATAGTCCGCATTACAATTTAGAATTCTATTATTTTTAGTACACATGGTGTATTATATGCATTGAATGGTAGGTTTTTCTTTTAATTTTTTTTTTCTGAAAACAAAAATAAGTTACCATATTTTGTTGGATCCGATTCTGCATCCAATACAGCGGAGAAAGAATCAAAGAGTGAATATCGAAAGCCTTTGAGCTGCCCTTGCAGTTGCAGGAGTATCGCGGCAAGCCTGGAATTGTGGCTCACCGCCGCAGCATTGGCCCGAGGGTCGCAGCTTCCGTCTCCACCACCGGCCACGTTTTGTGCTCTGACGATCGGTAAACACCCCAACGGCCCTAAGTTTAGAATTCCGAATTTTCGTCCACCTTTGTTGTATAATTCCTGTTAATATATAGTAGTTTCATACATGCCAAAATAAAATTATTTTAGATTAGAACTACTAGTTCGTGAATTTGAAACTTGTGAAAATAACAATGTAACGAGTTATGTACTCGATTGGATAAACTATTTCCTTACCAAAAAAAAAAAAAAAAGACTTCAAAGGAACTAAGAAATGTTGCAAATTAAATTACCTCAAGAGCAGTAGTAATGTTGCCAATCACCATAGAAATGTATTGGTCCGGAGAAAATGATGCAAATAAGGTTGAAGGGCTTAAGTAGTCATTACTTCCAATGCTTAATAAAATTACAGCATTTGCTAACACTTGGTCTCTTTCAGTTTCTCCTAGTTTTGCCTTCAAGTGGTTCCTAACTTTTTTGAAATTCTTCAATTGCTTGTGAAGATCAATCACCTGTAAATTTTGTGACAAGAGAATGATCATCAACTTATTTTATTAGTTTTATTTGATTTTGTTGATCAAATCACCTGATTTCTATTTTTTTTCTCCCTCTACTACTATATGAATTTATTTCTCCTCGTTGTAACATCAACGAAAAGTTTATTCACGGTAACCATTATTTTCATATCTAAAGGTTTGGACCAATAACCAAACTATTCAGTCAAAGAATACCATATATAGCCGTTCTCATTATTTAAATACCCGAGTATCCTTTTCTTCGAACGATGAAATAGTTTTCTAGTACTTTTGTCTCAAAATGATTATCCGGTTTATATTTTTATTTTTAGTACAATTTCAACTAAAAATGAAAATCTGAATAGGACAATCATTCTGCGACGGAAGTAGTACGAGATACCAATACTGAACTTGACTGATTCAGCAGCAAATTAAATAGAGTTTCTTCCTCTCAGTATTGTGATATTTTTTTTTTATTAATAATGAAAAGGTAATGAAACCAATAACACATACCAATCCAGAATTAGTTTCTGAAAGGGCACCAGCACCAGCAGATGCAAAATTGTAGCCATAAGCCACCTGATGATGATGATGATGATGGTGATGATGATGATGATGATGATGATGATGATGATGATGATGATGGGGTTCCAAGAATGGCGGAATTAAAGGCAAGTTGGCAAATTCAGCTGCCAAAAATTTCAATGAACATATGAATTTATTCGTAAATTTTTATAGGTGTCCAAAATGAAGATTTAATTTTTATTTTACTTTAAGGAAACAAAGGGGATGAAAAGAACAAAAACTCTTACCAATAAAATCAGGAATGGTGCGGCCATTACAAAATCTCCCAGTTGGATGTTTGAAGAAAGTTTCACCGTAAGGAAGAAAATTGGCCTGAAAATGAGTGGTTGTGTTAATGTAATTGTTGTTTCCTGGATCGAACAAAGAATCACCAAACACGATAAGGGTTGCATGATTTCTTGTTGTTTCTTGATGAAGTTGACGGATACAATCAGAAGGGATAGCAAGAGATGAAATGAACACAACAATTGTCAAACAATAAAGTTGCGGCTTATTGAATGAATATTTTGCCATGATAATAATATTGATCACTAGATTTAGAGACAGAGTCACCAATCTTGTTTCTTCTCTCATGCAATATCCGCTAAATTTATAGATGGCAAAATCATTAATTTAAAGAGTTTTAAATCTTGCTAAGGAACACTAGTCAATTTAATGTTTTTTTTTTCCCAACACGCTAGGTAATAAGGTGTTTTGGGCGGACACACATATATCATGTTCAAATTAATTCTCATTCGACCTAAATAGTCTCTTTGTGCAATAACAGACTAGAATTTTGCGATTTTGGAAGCAAAGTAAAGGGAAGAAAAATATGCGGGAGCAAATATATGGAAAAGTTTTTGTTTACACTATGTTTCCAAACCAATTCTTAATAAAAAAAATTTCCCAGAAACAACCACTCCTACTGATCTCCTAGTTGTGTCATTGCTTTATAGGGTAAAAAGTGTCACATAATAGTTTTTTTTTCTTGTGTTTTCAATTGGCGGAGTACAGATGTCACAATTTCATTACCATCAATCAGTTTTAGTAGTTAATTCAAAGTTTTAGTATGTATTTTATTTGGTCTATCCGAGTAGTTTGCTTTCTTGGTTATAAATTAGGGTTTTCAGCTGGATGGGATTTTTTTGGTATATACTATGAAGAAAGTGAACCACCCTCGCACCTATCTCATAAGACAAATGTATTTGGTTAAATTTTGGATTAAAATACGCCAATCCTTTACCGACGCAATAAATTAGTTGAAGTACTACGTAGATTGAAGAAGTTTTGATAATCGACTAACTAAATTAAAGCCGCCACTAGACAAAAGTAATTAAGTTACGTTTTGGGGGAATGGAATATGCAGCTTAGCAAATGTGCATTTTACATCATTTCCTTACCAAAGTAGAGTTCAATCAAAACTTTTCCTTGATGATTACAACGGTAATCTCTTGTTAAATTCTTCCAAAAGTTTAATATGTAATTTTGTTGTTTTTACTGAATCACGATGTGTCATTCCAAATGCAAAAAAGTTATCTTTTACTGGAAGTTTTTGATACACAAATTAGCGGCCCTTAGTAATTAACGTAACTTATTTTCGTCTGGAGGAGGCTTTTTTTTTTTTTTGGGGAAAATTTTGATTAAGGGCATGAGAAATATTATATTTATTAAAAAGGGTGTCATAATTATCTTTATATTTTTAACTTTTCGAAAGACTATATTATCCTTCACCACATTTTTTTCCTATTCTTTCTGTTTTCATCCCTTTTATTGAATCTCTCATTTTTTTCCGAACGTATTCATGCTTATCTTTATATTCTCTCATTTTTCTTGAATCTCTCATGTTCTTGCTTCCATGGCAGTAACGGTGGGCATGAACCCCAAATTTTCAATGAAGAATCCTTCATGTATGGTCAGGTTCTTTTCTTTCTGTTACCTAAAAACCTTTAGAATCAACCACAAAAAAAATCACCACCAAAGGGAATTACGTAGGCAATGATGCCCTTGTAATTGAGATATTAGCTTAGGTGATGAGAATCATGTAGCCTTTCATGGTATTTTTCTAGTGAGGGGAACGAGCTAGTCCTTCATTTTAGTTTTGGAATGCCAAGTTTACTTTGCAGGCCAATCAAGGAAGAAAGGGTGGATCTTGACTACCTATGATAGAGAGTTGGTTCAAGAGAGCTATGATCAAGGTGATGAGAATGTCATTAACTTTGGGGTTCAAACCAAAGGAGATGATTCACTCATGGAAATAAGTGCTCAAGAGTATCAAATGAGTTTGACTCTAGGTGCTCCATGAAGATTATTGATCAAGCTAGTGAGAAGAGTCATTTAGGTTCTTGAATGGACGGCCTATTTGATCGAAGTGTTCAAGATTGAGTCCATTGCTACACAATTGGATAGGTTGCAAACTATCTCAGTTGTTTCAAGTGTTTTTCCAATCTTTTGGAGTCAATAAACAGAATTCTACAAGTTTTGGAGTAAATTGTAGTTTTCGGGGCGCAAGACCAATATTTCACTTTTGGAAGGGCATTCAAGACATTTTACTTCAAAAATTTGGAGCTGATTTTCGAGATTTAGAGGTTGTCTAAGTCTAGGAGTTATTTTCAAATTTTTATCTAGTTAGATAAGCCATGTAGGCTGAATAAAGCTAGAGTGTTTTGATTAGGAGTCTTAGATTCCTTCTAGATATTATCCTGCTTGAGGATAAGTCATTTAGATAAGGTTTCCTAGATTTTAGACAAAGTCAAAGAGATCAAATACTCTTCTACTTCTACTCCTTGTGAGATAAGATTAGAGAGTCCTAATTGATCTTCTTTTCTTGGTGCTGGCCGAAAATCTTAGCCTATAAATAGGGGAGATGGCCGAAATTTTTAAGCACCCTTGAGTGGTCATTTTTGTTGTCTCTTTTGAGAGTTTTTCCTGTGAGGAATTTTTGTTAAATGGAGTGTCCATTTTTCGTGTCAAGTATGATTTAACCAAGAGGGTTTTCATCTTGTCTTGGATCTTTTGATCTTGCAGAAACCGTTCTTTTTCAAGTATACTTCTTGATAGAATTGTTTTAAAACAAAACTTCTTATTTTCATACTACTTCTAGTAGTTCAATTGATGAGCCTTTCTTTTGGCTTGGTGTTCGAATTCATGATGTGTGTGTTCATGAGTTCCATTGTGGGGTTTGTCATACTTTTGTTGGATGAATTGTGCTTTGGTATAAGTATTTTGAGATAGTGTATGTGTTGCATATCTTTGTTGGTTATGGAGATTACTAATCAATAGTATTCCTTCATAGTTGAGCATTGTTTGCTCCTGCCTTTGTTGAGTCTCTTGAATGATGACTGATCGAGTATATTGAATGGTGTCCTTGCTATTCTTAGTGTGGGTTATTGTTTAATTCGAATCTTTCATGGATAATGTGTTCTTTGCTTGGTTTGAGTTAAGAGATAGAAATCACTTAGATAAACGATCGTCTTACTGTGGTTTTCTGCACTCTTTTGAGTTTCACGGGATAGACAAATTATCTTCGTACTTTCTTGTTTGATGGTTGCATTAACGAAATTTGCTTCATCTACGAGATTACTATCACTAGGTAAAGAAGATTTTTCAACCGTAATTGTATACTCAACGGTGTGATCTCAAACTGCATGTCTTGAGAAATCAATCAATTAATTAACTAACCTATAATGAACTTATTCCAAACACGTACTGTTTTGAAGTATCTTCCCAAATCCAATTAGCTCTTTGAAGGCGTCATTAAATTTTCTCTCTTTTATGAGTTTTTGCTTGCTTTCTCTTGAAATGGACAATCACAATCTTTAAATGGATCACCTATTATGTATAAGTTTTTCAAAAGGTTGTAGGTGTGGAGAAGATTTTTGGAAGAATGAAGAAACTGATCATAGATCTAAAGGGATCAAATAAAATTACGCGTACGGGATAAACACAAAATCAAATTACAGAGAATGTGGTCTAGCATGAACGATTGATATTTTACCCCTGTGTATAACAGATGAGATACCATCATAAGTAATCGATTAATTAATTAGTTATGGAAAAAGTAATGCCGCGGAAGAGAATAGGAGAAGGAGATAAACTTACAGGATTTGTACCTAGAAACGAGGGATAATGTAGTCTTTACAGCAGAATTAACTGTAATACAAGCTCTCTAAAATTTTTCCTCTCCCATCTCACTAGCCCCACCGGAAACTTCCTCCTCCCCCAACCACGTTTACGGTGGTTGGGGGAGTCCCTTTCTTTAATTTTAATCTTTTTCTGTCTTTTATTTCCCCTCTTGTTTCATACCGACCTCCTGGCCTCCAGGTCACTCCAAACACGGCCACCGTTTGTCCGCCCCCCGCAACCGAAATCGGACTCCAGCCACAGATCTCCACCTGCTCAATCGCCGGCCGCCGCTTGGAAAAGCTCGGCCTTCATCGAACGGCCACTCACCAGTGTTGACTGGTGCAGATCGAGTGTTACGCTCAGATCTGATCAAATCTGCCGGCCAGATGAAGTGTTAGATGCAGACCATGGAGAAGATGCCGACGCTACACCCCAGGGATGCATCGTCCGGCAAGCTGCAAAATCCAAGAACAGAGCCGATGCCGGAAATCACCAGTGTTGACTGGTGCAGATCGGAGTCTCGTGCTCAGATTTGAATTGGTCGGCATCCACTCCTTGCTGTCTAAAGCCCAACCCACGCCGGCGGACTCTGCCGTCCGACGCACAGTCAAGCCTTGGCGACAATACGACGTGCGGCCCTTCCCTCAGCCCTCCCCATTCTGTTCTCTCGGCCAGAGGAGACGACGATGATGGTGGTCACGACTGTGGACGACAAGCCGGCAATCAAACCGGTAATGAACCGGACTGCCGGTTCTTAATTAATGGTGAACCAATTCAACTCGGTTCACTGGTCTGGTTTCCAAACAAACCACTTTGGTTTATACGGTCAATTGTATGTTATGGTTCTGGTTCAGATTTGGTTTTATTTATTTTAGGGACTCTTTTAGGAATTAAATTTTCCTGTATATCACTCACAGATTTAGATTCTCTATATACCCACTAAACGCAGCAGTTTAGATCTGTGATCCGAAAGAAGCGAATCACGATGACGGGAATTTATCTTTTTTGATTTACTAGATAAATAATTCTGATGACTCTGGAACCGACATTAGAATTAATTTAGTATAGGTCCAATTTGGTCTCTTTTGAAAATATCAGTATATTTACTGATATTTAAATCTCCGTATTTTGACGGCCTCTTGTACAGGGTAAGTCTTAAGCGCTGCTCTGAAATTATTTTCTGATATTAATAAAAATCCCAGGTACTGACCTGGTTTAATAAAAAAAAAAGGTAGTCTTTTACTAACTTAAAGTTATTTAATATTAGCATTAATGAATTAATAAATGGATGCCTTTCATAATAAATTTGATCTTTTAATGAACTTAACAGAAAATTTCCCCTTTTTTTTTAGACATTTTATAGAGGAGGCTTTAGTTAGTCAATTATTTAAAAAATAGCATCTGTAAATGATTAGCGCAGTTTAATTTAGGGCTGTCAACTCAGACAGGTTCGGTCGGCTCGATATCGGTTCTGGTTCATCAGATTTTTCCTATTAATAGACTAGTCTGAAACCGAACCGAAAAATATGTAACACCAAACCGAACCGATAGAATAAATTTTCGGATTAATCGGTTCGGGTGTCATTCACCCGCACAACACAGTCTTCATAGAACAATTTGGACACTTTTTTTTCCCAAAAAATACAGAAAGAAGAAGATGAATTCTCTCATAATAATACAGATCTAAACTTAAATAATTACATTTCATGAAATTTAAATACACATTCTTTCAAAAAAAAATAAAAATAAAGAAATAGGTGCAAAGAAACTTTTCATCCCTTGAAATCGACTCTCGATTCGGGCGGATATTATCTTCCATTCTATAAATAAGATTCACTTTTACAAATAAGATTCAAGTTTAATTTGAGAATGAAGAGATATATAGGATAAAGAAAGAAGGAAAAGAAAACTCTTATCCGTTGACAGTCACTGAAATATTAAAATTGGTGCTGAAATCTGATTTGAAATTGTATTTTTGAAAAAACCATGAGAATAAAAAAGAGGAGTATTTGGTCTGAGAAAGAGAGAGAGAAAAAAGAGGGAGGAGCCATGATTGATGCGGTGGGCATCGCACGGCGGCTATAGAGGGGGACTTGGATGAGAGAATTGAGGGAGGAGAGCGAAAAAAGAAAGAGGAGCCAAGTTGGTGCGGTGAGGGGTGGGCGGCGCTACAAGAGGAGTTGGACGAGAGAATTGAGGGAGGCAGGGGATGTTTTTATTTTGAGTTTTGACTAGGGAACGACAAAAAGAAATCCCACCAACAAAATAAACAAACCCTAGTAATAAACATATTATTACTATTATCTACAAAATTATTAAAAAAAAAAGGTGTAGTTCAAATTTTCGGGCGGTCCCCGTATAATGGTCCCGCCCGCACCCAGACCGAGTTAACACTCGGTTGATCGGGTGAACCCGCATAAACCTAAATTCACCCAATTAATCGAATTGTTTCACCCAAAGTTAGTTTGGTTCGGACGGGTTATCGGGTTCACCCGACTGACTAACTGACACCCCTAGTTTAATCCGAAATTTAACTAAATACATTTGACTTATGGGATTTGTGAGTCACTTTGTTCATAGAATATACCAAAAAAAACCCTCGCACGCATCCAGCTGAAAACCTTAGTTTATGACCAAGAAGGCAAATCCACCAAACAAATTAAAAAAAAGCATACAAAAAGCTTTGAATCAACTACTAAAAACCATTGGTGTTAAAAAAATCGTAACACTTGTATGTACGTACTCCACATAAACAAGAGAAAAAAGAAATTATCACGCGATATTTGCAACTTGTAGAGATTATTCGGGTTGAGTGAGAATCACTTTGAACATGGTATATATGTACCTGCTCAAAAAGTCAAAACACCTTAAACAGTATATTTTAAAAAAGACTTCGAATTGACTTGCCTTCCTCAGTAAGACTTAAGATTCTAAAAATTAATGATTTTGGCCTCAACAAATTTATAAGCGGCTATTGTGTGAGAAGAATAAACAACATTGTTAACTTTCTTTCTCTCTCCCTCTCCCCAAAGTCAGTGATGCGTATTATTATCATGGCAAAATATTCATTCAATAAGCAACAACTTTGTTGTTTGACCTTTTTTGTGCTCATTTCAACTGTTGCAATCCCTTCTGGTTGCATTCGTCAACTTCATCAAGAAACAATTACAAATCATGCCATCCTTATCGTGTTTGGGGAATCTTTGTTCGATCCAGGAAACAACAATTACATTAACACGAGCACAAATTTTCAGGCCAATTTTCCTCCATACGGTGAAACTTTCTTCAAATATCCAACTGGGAGATATACTAATGGCCGCACCATCCCGGACTTTATTGGTAAGAGTTTTAGTTCCTAGTTTCTTTTTCTCTATTTTGAGCTTTCAATTTATAATTATTTTTGGATTGCATCCGCCGAATATTCGAAACATGGACAGATAGTTTTATCAGTGTAGCACAAAAAAAAAATAAAAATCTTGTTACTTAAAATAATGGTCAGTTCATTTTTTTAGGCTGATCGTTGATTGATGTATTTATTAAAATTTTGGCAGCTGAATTTGCAAATTTGCCTTTAATTCCGCCATTCTTGGAACCCCATCATCATCATCACCACCATCATGTGGCTTATGGCTACAATTTTGCATCTTCTGGTGCAGGTGCCCTTTCAGAAACTAATTCTGGATTGGTATGTATTCTTGGTTTCGTTACCTTTCCATTATTAAAGGGGGGGAAAAAAATCAAATGTCACAATAATGAGAGGTAGAAAATCTATTTAATTTGCTGCTGAATTAGTCAAGTTCAACTAATTGGTATCCCTTGCAAAAGTATTTCACCGTTTGAAGTGAATGTAATGCGTTATTTAAACAATGAGAATGATGCTTGTTTGGACGTTATCTTACATTTTATTTTGCCACTTAAAAGTGAAAAGTGTTTCAAGTTGAAAATTAAATGGGAAATGAAAATGTTGTTTGGATGGTATTTTGAGCAAAAAGTTATCTGAATGTTAGTTTTGAAAAAAATATTTTGAACTACATTTTGAAAATATCAAGTACGAGTCATCACTAAACAATTAAATACTGTCAATTATAGTCACTGCAAAAAAGAACTTTTCCAAAAACAATCACTCAACAATGAAATCCTGCCAAATTTGTCGCTGAACTATTTGTAGTTCTAAAATAGTTATTACACTAACAAAAAGTATTTCAAGTTGGAATTTAAAATGTCAATCAGAAAGTTGTTTGGATGATGTTTTTTTTTTCTATTGGGTTTTGTATTTAAGAGGTAAAATGAGTTAAAATATAAAATGAGTGCCGGTAAGTACTCCTTCCACCGACTAGTTTGGTTAAGGGTCCAAATCAATAGTAGATATGAAAATAACGGTATCTGCAAATAAATATCTACACCACCATTAAGTTGAAAAACTATAAAGTTTTTTCATGATATTATATATGAGTAGTGAAACAAAAAAAAAAAATATATACATATATAAAGAAATAATTAAGGTGATTAATTTGATCAATTCATAATCAAACAAAAGTGGTAAAATAACTTAATGATCTTCCTTGTCACAAAATTTACAGGTGATTGATCTTCACAAGCAACTGAAGTATTTTAAAAAAGTTAGGAACCATTTGAAGGCAAAACTAGGTGAAAGAGAAAGTGACAAAGTGTTAGCAAATGCTGTATTTTTATTAAGCATTGGTGGTAATGACTACTTGAGGCCTTCACCGTTATTTGCATCATTTCCTCCCGACCAATACGTTTCTATGGTGATTGGCAATATTACTTCTGCTCTTCAGGTAATTTAATTTGTAACATTTTCTTTGTTCCTTTGAAGAATCCTTCTTTATTTTTTTTTCCCCAAGAAAATCGTTTATCCAAGCTAATATGTTTCTCTCTCTCTTTTTTTTTATTTATTTTTTTTAATTACACCGGCCAAGGTTCAAATACACGAACTCGTAATTACAATCTTACATAACTTCTATTTTGGCAATGAATGAAATTACTATCAACAGGAAATATACCACAACGGTGGACGAAAATTCGGAATTCTGAATATATGGCCGTTGGGATGCTTACCGATCGCCCGAGCACAAAATGTGGCCAGCGGTGGAGACGGAAGCTGCGATCCTCGGGCCAATGCTGTGACGGTGAGCCACAATTCCCTGCTTGCCGCAACACTCCGGCAACTGCAATGGCAGCTCAAAGGCTTTCAATATTCACTCTTTGATGTTTTTTCCGTTGCATTGGATGCAGAATCGAATCCAACCAAATATGGTAATTTATTACTATTATTTATGTTTAAATTCACCGTTTTGTATACATATATGACTCCATCTGTCCTAAAACATTCATCCACATTGTAAATTGTGTATTGCATACTAAACAAAAAATAATTTACAAATTGAAACGTGGACTTTCTTTTTGTGACTGAGGGAATACTATATTATTATTTATTACTACCAATAACATTGGTTTTTCATGTATTTGAACTTTATTGTTTAGAATGAGGGTGGTGTTTTATGGATGAAAAACTGTAAAAGCCTTTCCTTCTTACTTTGGATTTCAATTAGTTTATAAAAGTATCATTATTTTTTATGAGTCAACTTACTAATATGATGAAGGTAAAAATATAATTATCCCTTCCATTTTAACTTTCTGCGTTAACATTTTTTTAAACTTAATAAAATGATATGTTAAAACGGGACGAAAGGAGCAAGCAGAGGAGAGTTACATTATACTCTATGGGTGGTACTAGCTTCTTTTTATTTTTTTATTTTTATAAATAAATCATGCTTATACATAATTAAAGAAGTTCAACAAAGATTAGGATCATCATTACTCGTGACTAGAGAAGTTAAAAATATTAATTAGCTCTCCATCCGAGATCATGATTACTCTAGATTAGGTGAGTGACAATATTAACTCGCATTTTGTTCATTGAAAACATTGATGTTTTTTATTTTTATCATTGTCACACTAGTTTGCTAGTCAGTCCATTTTTTCCAACTCATATTACTCTTTCCCTTTTTTTATTTTTTTTTTATTTTCTTTGTCATCTTAATTGTGACATACTAGGTTTTAAGGACGCGAAGAGTGCATGTTGTGGAACTGGTCCATTCAGAGGGATCCCTAGTTGTGGAGGAAAAAGACAACCAAAGGAATATGAACTATGCAGTGATCCACAAGACTTCTTGTTTTGGGATTTTATTCATCCAACTGAAGCATCCAATCAAATTTCAGCTCAGGCATGGTGGAATGGACCCCCTAACATTACTGGCCCTTACAACCTCCAAGCCCTTTTCCACCTCACTTCCTAAGTAGCAGTAAGACGAAATAATGATTTTTCGGGAAATTAAAAAAAAAAAAGTTCTGCATCCACATAAAAGAAAAGTTAGTAATTCATGAAGTGCTGCTCGTGTCCATCCCATTAATATTCAGGAACAATAAAATTGGCAACCCACAAAATTGTTGGATTTGTATGAGTGATTATAACCAGGGTTTTCTTCTTCATTACCCATTTTAAGTGTGTGCATAAAGTGAGGTGTGCGAGACAATTTGGTGCCTCCCTCCCTAGGCACAATCTGTAACGCATTTTACGAATTTTCAAGTTCGTGTGTAATTTGCTTAAACTGTATACTCAATCTACTACGAGTGATAGCAATCCGTGACAAAACCAATCTTTAAGGAAAGATCAACTTTACTGATTCGGAAAGACAGAGATTTGTAGGCAGCGAAATTTGGAAAATTTGGATGTAACGACTCAAAAACACACGAAAAACAACTAAAGAAAAGATATTTGATCTCACGTGGATCAATTCACGAGTTCAATGGTAGAAAAACCCAAATCAAGAATGAAGAGAGCTATTTCTAACCAAGCAGAGATCCCTTGGAAAATTGTGTAGGAAAACCCAATAGATATGAGATCTATGAGCTTAAATACCAAGATTCGAAAGATCTACTGCTAAAGACACCACTATCAAGTGAACTAAATAAGATAGATAAGTCTAACAATTGTCACAACACATATGCAACAACTAAACAAAGAAGTCCTCACAAGAACTCCACGAAAGGAATAAAATCCTAACCAATTTCACTCAAGAAAATATCAATGACACAAGGTGTGTTGGACAAGAGAATTTCGGTCCTTATTTATAGAGGGGGTGGCCGAAATTTCTTCCCAAGAAGTAGAGGAAGAACACAACTCTTTACCTCTATTCCTATTTCTAAGACTCCTAGTTATCTTAAGTGATAAGATAACGAACCTAGACACTTTTACTAGTCTTAAAACATTCAAGACTTGTATGAATTAATTAAAACTCAAAATACAAAGAGATAATCTCTTAGAAAGATTCCTATGGATAGAATCTCCCTTGAGTTAAAACTCTATCATCATCTTTTTTGTAGAGTGATCTTAGCCATCCATCTTGATGTAGTTTTCATCCAACGGTTGAGTAGACATCAAAAGTTGACTCCTTATTGTAGGAAACTCGAAATAAGATAAAAGGAATCATCCCAAATATTATCCTTTAAAGAGATAAAGTCTTATCTTTCAAATAGATAAAATGTGAATGATCTCACCCCTAAACTTTAGGGATCTATTCGACCAACATGAGGAATGTGGCCTGCGGCTCTCCTTGGATTGAGGGCCGAAAAATCCTTCTCTCCAAATGGGTCAAGTCCATTTGGTGCCACTTGCAACAAATTAATAGTGTTGGACTTGTAATCTTCAAGCTTAATTTCTTCCTTAGCCCATGTAGTAGTAACTAGACTATTAATTGATTCATCCATCCTCTTGCGTCTAGCACGAGTCATTGGTCCAACAATGTTTGAGAGTGGATCACGGATATAAGATTATTCTTTAAAGCAACATCTTTAGATCCTCCACTAGCATTCACGACCTCAACTTGCTCGTCCTCTCCATTATTGGTAGCAACATGTCCCTCTCCATTAGTGTTAGTTCGATGGTCTCCATCAACGAGAATGTACAGTGATCTATTATGAAACCATGCAGTAAAATTGCTCGATGATACATAAAAGGAAACTACAAAAGAATAGCTCTATTCATTAAAACGCGAACCATTGATGTGGGGTATTTTAATTATTAACATATATGCAATTTAAGAACAAAATAATCCAATACCACTCAACTTGAATGCAAAATATAGGTTTTCATTGTAGTAGTGATAGCCGGATCATTCCACGAGAAGTTGGAGCTAAAATATTGGTTGGAGAGAAGTTAAAATTTCTTATCATTTTAAACTACTCAAGAAAGACTTTTTCAATTTGACTAATGTAGCAAATTTTACCATTTATCTCGCGTAATTAATACCAAGAAGATAGGTATGAGGAAAAAGCCAAAGCTTTCAACGTTCATGGAAAGAATGTTCCTTGGGAAAGTTACTTGGGGCTCTGCCCCCATTGATCATATCAAATCATTGGAACAATGTTCTACTGAGCGACAGATGGTAGAGGGAACACGAAATCAAAACTTAGGCGGCAGTTGAAGCATCCGAATTTGAAGGTTAAGTTACCGCCTGAACCTATTTCTAGTGTTAAAGGAAATAGGTAACACTGCCTCTTTATATAAGAGGCGGTGCCTCTCCCATATTGGATATCTTCTATATCATTTACATCTTATACACATGCACAACTACCTCTCTCTTTATTCTTTTTATTCCTTTATTGAATTAAGTATCGGAGAATCTACCCGGGAGATCCCAGAGACTCCGTTTTGCAAGTTTTAGACCGTCTCCCGTCGCCTAGGTCATCGTTGCCACCCGTCCTAAGCGCTGTGTAAATTTCAACTTCGTCAAGTGGCGTCGACTATGGGGATCGATTTGTTTTGTCTTCACAACCAAATTCTTGGAAGGAAGCTGAAATCAAGAATTTGGAAATTTAGCAAACTGACAACCGTCGACTTCCACGTCAACTTCTTTCTATCGATGATCAGATCGATGGTGACTGTCGACTTGCACGTCGAGTTACTATAGCTGACACATAAGCCGACGCAGAGGAGGATGATCAATCCAAAAGAATTCCAACCTATTTCTATAACTTGTAAATAAGCCCTTGTAATTCTCACTTATAATACTTTATTTCTTATAATTAATAATTTTGCAGATAAGCTCTTAAGTCCTTCGAAGCAGGGGGCAATCTCTGATATAGAAGTTTCAAGAGATACATCTCCTTGAAGGGGCAACCATCCCTCGAGCACCATACTACTACTCGAAATGTTCGGGAAGACGTATCTCGACTCAAATACTACTCAAATACCACCTTCTCGAAATCGAGGTAACACTTTCTCGAATGATCAATTTATCTCAAGACTGAGATATTTCTCAAACCTTTTCTAATATGGTTCTCGAATTCAAGTTTATTTACTGCTAATATCATTAGCATATTACTATTATCATATCACGATATCTTTTCAAGCATGATCAAAGAAATTCTTCAAGGTACCGACCCTTTGGGGAAAATCCTATCACCCTGCAATGAGGACAATCACATCGGGGCTGCTTTCAATGAGAAAAACATACTTGGGGTACAAACTGGAAAATACCTTATGAACAAGAAACTTGAGGGATCATCCAAACATCTTCTGCTAGAACTGATATTCGTTACATGCATCCCATTATTACATGTCATTATTATATTATACTACACCTCCATTATCCAAACATACTGGGGCCACCCTTCAAATTAGACACTGGAGACCACCCTGCATCAGAAAGGAACTAAAAGACTCGCTAGACGGATAACGGCCAAATAAGACCTACTAGATGGACACATCCACAAAACCTATAATGATAGGCACAAGACCTGCACGATAGGCAAATATAGGTTTCTCACATTCAAATAAGAGAGAGTATAGACTTCTCACCTTCAAATAAGATAATAAAGGCTTTTCACCTTCAAATAAGAGAATATAGGCGTCATCCTCCAAATTTGACATATACAGGCTTCCCCCTCCTAATCAGGAGCTCATTAACATATAGACCTTCTCGAGAAGTTTGACTCTCTTTATTCTATTCCAATATATAAAGCACAAACGGGGACGTTTTAGTTCATCATCGTCATCGCACATCTTCATCAGGACCTCATTTTTTCCCCCTCTCCTTTTCGAAAGAATATGTATAACTACTGAAAAGTGGCAAGATCATAAACCAGAAATGTAACCATGGGTATGATAGTGTTTAGGGCCACACTATTTACTCAAAAGAATTTATTTGTCAGTTTTTTTTATCCATTTAGTATATTTAATGCTTAAATTTAGTTAGTCTGAATTTTGACTTGAATTACTTACATTAAGCTTCCAGGGAAAATAAATGTGTAGTACAAAACCAAGTGAATAATTAAAAAATAGAAATTAGAAAATACAAACTTCACAGAGCACCAAATCTTATATAGGTGACACCTAAGAATAGAAAAGTTCGAGAACTAGGGCAACACCACAAAACTCGAAAAGACATCAACACTCGTAGCAATGCATATTCTTCTCATCAAGTCTCGAGAATATGGTTTGTTAGGGAAACTTGAAGAGTTGGGATTAAACTCCAGGCCTTTGGACTTAGGGTTAGGTTACTTGGAAGTTAAGTCCCCGCCTAAACCTATTCCGACTAGGGTTTAAGGAAACAGGTAATACCACCTCTATATAAAGAGGTGGTACCACTCCCATATTGGATATCTTCTACATCTCCTATACCATAAACACACACACAACTACCTCTCTATTTACACTACAAAAAAACCTGTCATTACCCACGGCTTTCAGCCTTCTGTGGGTATATCGTGGGTAATTACCCACGAAATATCCACGATTTACCCACGAAACGTTGACCAAATTCTGATCCTCCTAAAAATTAAATTTACCCACGAGGTACCCACAGTTTACCCGTAGATTTACCAATGACAAGAAAAGTCATGGGTAATTCGTGGGCAATTTTTTCCCGCCGTCAATTTTGCCACGCCTTACCCACGACAAATGGCGTGGACAATTATACACAAGCTATTTCGTGAGTAATGCGTGGGTAAACATTTCCTGCCAACAAGTTTCCATGTCTTACCCACAACTTCAGTTGTGGGCAATTATACATGGAGGTATTCATGGGTAAGTCGTGGGTAATAATCACTTTACCCACGAAGTACCCACGTTTTTTTTTTGCGGGTACAATAGTCGTGGGTAATTGCTTTTTTGTCATGGGAAAGTCGTAGATAAAATGCAAATATAAATTTACAACACTATTCTTTATTCGTGGTTTTATTATGTTGACTTTTTTAATTAAAAAATAACGTGTTTATACTAAGTTTTGTTTTTGATTTTGTAATCATCTTTTGTTGTTGTTAATTATTTGTAATATCGATGTAAGCATTTGTTATAGTCATAACGTATATGTATATGGTATCAATTGATGTGGGTAATCATTAGGTCGAGCATTTCGGAGATTCTTTTTTTCCTCATATTGTAATCATCTATTGTTGTTGAGAAGTATATATGATATCGATGTACACATTTGTTATATACGTATATGCAAATGATATATGTATGTATAAATTTGAAAGTGAAACCACCATGTTAAGAAAAGGAAATTAGGATTTGAAGTAAAACCTCAATATAGATATGAAAGTATTAAATTTAAGGTAATCATTAACCAAATTAATATCTATAATGTGTATAC